CCCTAGTTTTGTACTAAAATAGATTTTAGTTCGATGGATAAGAAGCTTATCCTTGGTCTCGAATTTTTATCAAAGAGCCTGGAAATAGCTTGAACGCCCGCTCACAGGCAGGCAGGCAGAAAACCATGGCAATATAACGATTACATAATTATATGAATAATGCCAGTCGATCGTATGAAATTTGTATTTCAATAATTTAAATTAACTTTTAAGCCCAGGTCACACTACACAACGATAACGATACGATAACTTGTATACGCGCGCTGATTGGTCAAAAATTTATCGTTATCGTCCGACTGAAAAAAAAATCGCTCAGGTGAGCGATTTTAAAATCGTTATCGTTATCGTCTAACGATAATTTTATCATTTTCGTTGTTGTGTGGACACTAACACAGTTTTTTTTCCAATTATCGCGTGTTTACAATTTATCGTATCGTTATCGTTGTGTAGTGTGACCGGGCCTTTACTCAAACATATATTAAAAACATGCCAAGGGAAGACTTTTATTGCGGTGAAGCATAAATTGCAAGCTATATATACAGTATGATAATATGAAATCTAATATTTGGTAAGGATTATCTTTATATAACATAGAAATATAATTTTTCTTTAACTTAATTATAATTCAAGTCACACGCTGATATTCCGCTTGGTCATGACATCACCGGGAGCCCGGTAACACCATAGTTAATGGAGGAGATGGTTTGGAAACTCATTAGCATTACAATAAACCTCACTATCTATGTTTTTGTTCAGGTTTATGCAAAAATGTAGTCTTTCATCGTCACATGCGTATTGTATTTTTGCTCAACTAACGAATAGCAGCGGTTTTGTCCAATTGCCCATCCATGACTTTAACAATAGGACATTTTGAACATTCGTATTGGTTGACTTGAGAAAAATACAATACGCACGTGACGATGAAAGACCACATTTTTGCATACTGCCTGAACAAGATAGATAATGAGGTTTATTGTGATTTTATTGTAATGCTAACGAGTTTCCAAACCATCTCCTCAATTAACTATGGTAACACAGATGTTGCTTATCCGCCCCTGATAATGCCCAATATATTGAACCTAAAAGTTGTGTTCTAGGCACTGTATATGGAAATTGTCATCCTCATCATCACCATAGAATATGTCAAAAGGGTCATGCACTGCATTTGCAAATGCAAGATTCAGTTGACAGTTGTTGTCCTGTTTTCCACTTTTTAACACAGTGCATCGTCGACTCTTTGGCATGTTCTGTTTATGCATGTTGTTGACAGTCTCTTCTGCCATCTCTTCAATATAATGCTTCCACCAGACACAAATGTATTTTTTCAACTAGTAAAAGTAGGTCTGATGTGTGGGTTTTTTGTTTGAGGGCCAACAACTTTTCAGGTATTAAAAGTCTGAATTATCTACTTGGCTATCATTTTCAATATTTACAATTTTCATGTTCAAAAGTTGGGATGACTGCTATAGCTTTTATACAAGGAAGCTAATACTGTTTATATGGAAGTTTTGAGGTCTAAAATACATTCTATAAATGAGTCAGTGTGCCCTGGGGCCGGGCATTTGTCATCTTTTTTTGTCTGGGGGTGGGGCATTGCTACGCTTTTCCTTCCCGACCCCCAGGAATTGTCAACTTAAATTGCAAATGCCCGGGGGGATGGGTAATGATAGAATTGACTGATGCATTACAGCTGCAAGTAAACTGAGTATGCATAAGTGCAGGAAAAATGGTTATGAAACTGACTTAGAGTCATTGAATTCAGAATTGGGGTGGAGGGAGGGGGCTATGAAATATGTTGCCTCAATAAGGGGGGGATAAAATATTTTGTTAGAAAAATAAGGGGTCATGAAAATTTTTTGCTATTCATACAAATTTCCTCCGGCCCCCTACCCGGCATTAACAATGACTTGTCCCTTACCAAAGAATGTAAATCATGTACAGTGCCACTGTTACAACAGGTAAGAACAGTAAAACAACAAGTTAAATTGTATAATACTTTAAAATCAAACCACTGACCTGAGCAAACTTTTTTGTAACTATTGTTGGTTTTGCATCTGGTCTCAATACTAATTTCTGGCTTTTACCCTTTATCTCATACATATCAGCACTAAAGTGCTCTGAACACAAACGACTACTTTTTGCAGGAACAGACTTCACTGGCGCATGTTTATTCATATACTCAACCCATATGCTGTACAATTCTGGATGCTTCTTTGCATCAGGAATGCTTAAATATGTGAAGGAAAAAATTCAATAACAATATGCTTTCATAAATACAAACAGGCCCGTAAAATACACCGTACAGTAGGTAGGAAAAACGAACACGAGAACATCACAAGGAACAATGGAAATATAATATTTGAATGAAACAAACTGCATGCAAAAACATCAGAAAAGAAGCTATAGTAGAGGAATATATACTAAAACTGTATGTACCAGTGTGGGTAGTACCAATGTGAAAATGCTGTGCTGAGTGGTTATATTACTACCTTAACAAATAAGCAGAAACTCGACGTTTCGAGCGAAGGCCCTTCGAAGGCTCTTGACGAAGGGCCTTCGATCGAAACGTCGAGTTTCTGCTTATTTTTTAAGGTAGTAATATAACCCCTCAGCACAGCATTATGACCATTATAGTAGAGGAAAGCTGGTGTACACATGCACGTGGAGAAAACATGAAATACCGTTTGCTTTACATTGTCATTTGCTGAAAAAACCTCTCGAATGATATATAAGCACAAAATAATATTTCCTTACCAGTGTGAATACATTCCGTCTTTGTCAAAGGAGTTGTGACAACCATAAACCGAGCAATAACGCGGCATGTTGACAAAATATAAAGTTGTGAAACTTGATAGTTAATTACACAAAGTGGAAAGAACCTTTGAACTTTATACTTTTTGCATCCAGGGGGGTGCGAAAACAGGTGGCTTTCAAAAATATTATGTGGTCAGTGGTAAATCGCCCGAAAATAGTGGACGCGGAGCTCGAAATCCGCCATGTTTTTGCGGACACTTTTTTGTTTGACGAGATATGGGAGCACGGTCTCCAGATATATATAGTAGAGCTCAGTGGTCGTGGCCCAGGCGTGCCAACGGCCCATGCATGCCAATTACTGCTGTCCATATAATTTTGAGATTGCAGGCTCGCAGGGCACCGTAAACAAAATGGCCGATCAGGGATAGCAAGAAGACGTTGAGCTTAAAGACGACTTACAAAAATATGTTGAAAGTAACTTACAAAGAAAAGAAATTTTAGATTTTGTAAAGGAAAAGTATTCACTATATATATGCTTGGAGTCTGCGAACTCTTTGCCGTCGATTAAAACACTTTGGCATTTCATACATAGACTACAATACTAATTTGGACCATGTTGAAGAGGCCGTACGTGAGGAAATGGATGGTCCTGGCCGACTGCTGGGTTACCGTGCTTTGCACAAAAAAAGTACGGGAAGTACATGGCCTTAAGGTTCCACGGAATCTAGTTTATGCAATGATGGAGAATGTTGACTCTTCAGGACTGGAAGAAAGAGGAGGAGTTGGGCAGCCAAAGCGACCAGTTAGAGCAAAAAGATTTATATCCACGGGGTATAAAATAATAGCCTCTAAATCAAGTATTGCGTTTTTTGAATATTGTGCTAATTAGTTTTAGTTATCTTTGTAACCTAAAAATAAAAAGAACCCGTTTTTGTAATTTGTAGGGTTCAGACTATACCATGTCACTTGATGGTCACGACAAGATGTGTGGATATCAGAACTCCACATTCGATCTGTGCATATACGGTGGTCAAGATACTTACAGTGGTAAAATAATGTTTTTAAGAATTTGGACCACTAATAGTGACCCAAGAATTATTGGTCGTTTTTACTTAGAATACTTGATTACCAGCAAAGGTAAGCAGCCCAAATTAATTGATTTTTAATACCTGTGGTGCTGATTGTAGGAAAGCTGATTGGCTTAACACTGCTTTATCCTGTGAATGTAAAATTCAAAGAAAATTTATCAACTGCATTTTTATAATCATTGAAAATATTTTCCCCACAAAATCCACCATAAAATCAAGCAATGAAATATGCAACAACAAAATCTGCTTGACCTAGCAGTGTAAAAAACATTTTCCGTTTTGTTTCTACCTCAGCGAGCAGAAAATGATATTTTAATTTTTAAAGTGATGCACAGAATTTTTACATAAACCAAAACAGTGGGTTAATTTAAAACTACTTTAAACAACCAACCCCACTGAGTCACTGATAGTACTCTGCCACTAACAAGTAAAATCGCTTATCTTATATGTTAACTTACTTAACTTAAACGGGTTCTTTTTATTTTTAGGTTACAAAGATAACTAAAACTAATTAGCACAATATTCAAAAAACGCAATACTTGATTTAGAGACTATTATTTTATACCATTGATATAAATCTTTTTGCTCTAACTGGTCGCTTTGGCTGCCCAACTCCTCCTCTTTCTTCCAGTCCTGAAGAGTCAACATTCTTCATCATTGCATAAACTAGATTCCGTGGAACCTTAAGGCCATGTACTTTCCGTACTTTTTTTGTGCAAAGCACGGTAACCCAGCAATCGGCCAGGACCATCCATTTCCTCACGTACGGCCTCTTCAACATGGTCCAAATTAGTATTGTAGTCTATGTATGAAATGCCAAAGTGTTTTAATCGACGGCAAAGAGTTCGCAGACTCCAAGCATATATATAGTGGATACTTTTCCTTTACAAAATCTAAAATTTCTTTTCTTTGTAAGTTACTTTCAACATATTTTTGTAAGTCGTCTTTAAGCTCAACGTCTTCTTGCTATCCCTGATCGGCCAATTTGTTTACGGTGCCCTGCGAGCCTGCAATCTCAAAATTATATGGACAGCAGTAATTGGCATGCATGGGCCGTTGGCACGCCTGGGCCACGACGTGTTTATTTTTTTTTAAATGGCACACCTGGGCCAAGGGTATATAATATTTTGCATTAAAATATTTTATGAATTAAAAAAAAACAAAGTTTAGAAATAAATTTTGTTTGGAAAAAAAAATAAAATAAAAATATTTTTAAAAATATATATTTAAAAAAATAAAAAGATATCAAAATTTTCTATTGCACGCCTGGGCCACCATACAGGTGGGGACTTAGATGTTTAATTCACTTCACTAGGCCTTCAAATACTTTAGCTGAAAAATATCAATACTGACAGCGCCACCAGCTTCGCTACCAGGAAATTTTCTTACACCTTGCAGAAACTTTTCTTTCATATACTGGAATGCCATATAATTCACTTCTTTTAAAAAATTCCAAAAGTATTTTGCCAGTCAAGAGAAATATATTTTTTAGGCCTGACACTGCTAGAAAGTCAACCTCGTTCCCAGGCTCTTTCCTCTTGTGGAGGAAAAACCGTGGTCGGAGCTGGTCACGTGACCCATAAAAAACTGATAGCCTAAGAGGGGGATGGAAAAGTCTCATATTACATGTTTTCACTTCCGCACTTCACACTTCGATTGCAAGGAGTGGTCGTTCTGTACAATCATCTTTGAGAACCGTATATACTTCAAAATACTTGCTAAATTGATTTCTGTTTGCTTTTAACAAACATGCTAAAATGCAGATTCTTATACGGCAACAGATAAGTCAGGAAATCAAGCAACGAAAACGTATGACCGTATATGCTTTGAAATATTTGCCCTTTTATTTTCTCGGGGTTCGGGCGCAGTTTCACTTCAGGCGTATACGTTTCTGTTCTGGCTCTGATATTTATAATATTCTTATAATATGCCAATGAATTGTTGTCATATGGAAATGGTATAAATTTTGTTAAAAATTAAACAGAGGTCTCAAAAACGACTGTGTAGGTCGTATACCGCCATGCTGGTCATATAGTAAACGTGACACATTTGGACACTGGCCAAATACACATTGAATGCCATTCTATTGATTCTTAAACTGTTTATAGACATATTGCTCTAGATTTTTTTAAAAACGGTTATCATAGTTTATATTAAACACCAGGTAGGAAGAGAAAATATAACGTACAAAATTGTTTGGGATCGACAGTGCACAGTATACGACAATTCACAAATGTATGCATTTCCTTTTTTTGTCTGCACGAGTATACCTGTTTGTTGAAGCCAAAATATTGCACAGCATCTCCTATAAATTCTATTGCCATTAATCCTCGCCCCTTGAATTCAAAGGAATGATAGCCAAAAAGGTTTAGCAAAGTATTTTTTATTAAATCTGGTTTAAAGTGTCCCTACGTTTTATCAGGGATATATATATATATATATATATATATATAATTATATATATATATATATATATATATATATATATATATATATATATATATATATATATATATATATATATATATATATATATATTAGGAATCATCAGGTGGTGAATAATTTCGAAATTGTAGGTTGCTTTTATGCTATCGAAAGAATGTGCGGAATGCGTGTAGGCGAAACAATGCTTAGGTGAAACAATGCATGCTTGGGTCATTAGGTTTTGTTAACGACCTTGTTTACTCGAAACCGGTTTTTGTGACGACATTTGCCGAAAATTTCGCTTCTTTTATTGAGTAAATTGTCTTTGTTTATGTCTTTCAAAATGCAAAAATTTTCTTCCAAACATAAATTGCAGCGTTTTGACCCCCCTGTGTACGAAATAGCGTGTTTTAAAATTGACCATTTGATGGTATAATCCTGATTGTTTTCTTTTAATTTCCAAATATGTTTCGAAAGTTCCGTTTTGTTTGAGTCTTTTTTATGACGAAAAGATGAAGTGTGGTTAGCGTAACGTTCCTTAAATGTAGTCGCTGTCATACCAATGTAGTGTTTAGTGTCGTTCGTGTTGTTCGTTGTGACTGTGGCTTTGTAAATAATGTTGTTGGTCATACATTGTTTCGGTAGTGGGCAAGTGTTTTTGTTGTCGCAGTTACAGTTGTCAGTTTCCGTATTCTGTGATTGACTGTTCCTAATTATATGTGCGTTGTTTTTGGTGATTATAGACTTAACGTTGTTCATGCAACTGTAGCTTACTTTTAAAGTGTTTCTGTCAGAAATCTTGTGTAGTTTGTGCTGTAGTGGGAAGTGTCTGTCAATTAAACTTAAGAATTCCCGTCCTATGTTCGTGTTAACACTCTTACTAAATGGTGGGTTGAACCAAATTATGTTGCGTTGCCTATTCCTACGTGTCCGTTGCGGTGCATTCTGAGTGTATGTAAATTCATGATCAAAGTTACTATGTCTAAGAGCGTTCTGGTAAATAGGTGTAGATTCCTTAAATGTTTGTTCGTCTGATGAGAGAAGTGCAATGCGTTTGTTGATAGCTGTAGGTAATTGTCTTATAATGCTTGGTGGATGGTTTGAGTGTCTGTTGATGTATAATGGATCATCATTGGGTTTCCTGTATGGTTTGTGTTTTGCGTTGATCAGGTCCAAAGTAACATCTAAAAATTTACAACGTTCATATTTACTTCGGCGGTGATTTTCAGGTCAAATTGCTCGAAAATTTTGTGTAGCTCTTTTCTAGTTTTGTCTAGTAAACGGGCGGACTTGCTTTTTATAATAGCCAAACCATCATCTCTATAAAGGCCGATGTTTTCCTTGCCAAACCTCTTACCTAAGTGATTTTTATCGATTTTTAGTGATTTTTACGCTCTATCTATATGGTATTGAGCACTGTTTGTGTTTCGTAAACCAAAACCTTAAGCTATATTCGCACCCGGTAATCGGTTGTGCACTCTTGTCTACGTTATTCATTTTATTTCTACTTCAAACATGCGACAATTTCGATTCGATTATTCACTAAAGAATATTCCGATACCATCACAGGATGCTTACTTAAAGAATTTGATTGAAAAAGTGGAAAGCGTAACAAAACGTATGAGATGGAAAGCTAATTTCTTCCTAAAAGGATCAACGACTCAAAACCAAAGCAACCTTTTCGGCCTTTCGTCTAACAAATCGCCTCCTTCAATTCCACTTTTGAAACCTTTCGAAGACGACTTGATAAAACTAATTGAAAACGTAAAATTCCGGCGTCCTAAAGACCAATTTCAGACATCTTTGGCCAACGATTTGAAGAAAATTAATTCATCCCCCAACATTTTCATTTTCGCGGACAAAACTAGAAACATTTACGAAACGTCACTGAACACATACAACGAACTCTTACATGACAACATCACGAAAACGTACAAACATGGATCAGAGGACTTCATACATGAAATTGACTCCGAATTGAAAGAAATTTCGAGTAGGTTAGAAATTGGCGACAGAATTGAACGAATGAAAAAACGCGAAGCATTTATATCTTTAAAAGATCACAAAGAAAATTTCGAAAACAATCTAAAATGCCGACTAATTAATCCCGCAGAAAGCGAATCTGGAAAACTAAGTAAGGTTATTTTAGATAAAATCAATTCCAATTTGAGACAAAAACTAAATTCAAATCAATGGAGAAATACGCAACAAGTAATTTCATGGTTTGGCAATATAAACGATAAAGACAGGCACAGTTTTATTTCATTTGATATTGTGGATTTTTACCCATCCATTTCCGAAAAACTTTTAAATGAAGCATTGGGCTGGGCTTCGGATTTAACTACTATTACCGAAAACGATATTTCAATAATAAAACACGCAAGAAAATCTCTTCTTTTCGGCAACGGCAAATTATGGACAAAAAAAGACGGAAGCAACAGTTTATTTGACGTCACTATGGGTAGTTTCGACGGCGCTGAAATTTGTGAGCTGGTAGGCCTTTTCATTTTAAATCACTTAGGTAAGAGGTTTGGCAAGGAAAACATCGGCCTTTATAGAGATGATGGTTTGGCTATTATAAAAAGCAAATCCGCCCGTTTACTAGATAAAACTAGAAAAGAGCTA